GCCCCGCCTCATGGGCTGTCGTGTGCAGGAAGGGAGCTAGCCTCGGGGAGGTGCTTGGCCCGGCGACTGGCACTTCATAGGCAGGGCTGTTTGTTACAGCTCCTGATGGTGGACGTTAGTGGCTGTAACGCTTGGGGTCTTGCGAGTCACTGAAACCTCTCTGGGTGCCGTTGACGTCGTTCCAGCCTTGGGAACCACTCTCCCTCCATGTAAGGATATTCCGGTCGAGCTTCTCCTGCGGCTGGTGGCGGGAGAAGGCGAATGGCCTCGGGGTGCTGGCCAGCCCCAGATTGAGGAGACTGCCCTCCCCAGAGGCCAACAGGATTAAGTTGGAAGTCAGAGGTGTCCAGTGGGGACCAGAAGTAGGGGGCGGGAGCCGTGAGTCCGGTGCCTCCAGGGAATGCTTCTTAGATGCTCCTGGGGCGTGGCACGGTGCCAAGAGCAGGAGCCCTGCTGCCGAGACGCCCCGAGTCCGTCCCCATCTCTGCCACTAAATAATGTCTGTATCTTAAGCACCTGGAGCCTCATTTCCCCTTTGTATAAAATGGACATAATAACTGCCCTGTGCAGTGGATTATGATGCTGGGAGTGATGTCTGTAACGCATCTGCCTGGTGCCTGGCAAGTAGCTGGCATCTTATAATTGGGAGTTATCATTATTAAGGGCCGCTGCTCGAATTGAGGGGACAAGAAAGGTAAATCAAAGCGTCTCTGTTCTCCAGGGGCTCCCAGGAGAGTGGGAGAGACAGAAACGCACACATGAGTAACTTTTAATCCAAAGCAGGCTGGGAGAAGTGCTCTAACCAGAAGCCCAAACAATGTGGGAAGAATGGGGGAGGGAGCTCCGACAAGTCTAGCCCAGGAGCTTTGAGTTCGGGTGGGGGGGGCAGGGAGGGAGGGGCGCGGGGAAGAGGCTGGGAATGGGGGTTTCTGCAGCTCTGACCCCTCCTCAAATTGTGCGAGAAGCACAGAGCGCCCCCCCAGGACCCTCCTCATTTCTCCCCAGGGTCCCTCCGTGTTCCCCTTGCCCTCCCGACCCTGTTCTGCTGTTCACCTGCCCCCAAACCCTGGCTGAGCCTCCCGGGAGTCTCCTGTCCCGTGGCCCCCTGGAAGTGGGGGGCACCAGGAGTCTGGGACCCCAGCCTCACTGCATGAGTCTAAAGGGGAGACGTGCACCAGACATGGGGGTCCTGGCCCCATGACCACGCTGGGTCCCTGCCCCTGCCCTCCGCCTCTCCCCCTCCATCTTCAGGACCTCGGCCTTCCTTCTCCTCTGCCTTGGCCTGTGGCACTCAGGGTCTTTGTGTCAGCGGGTCCTGCCTGCTGTCTTTCCCTCTGGTTGCCCGTCTCGGGCCTGCCTCTTCCTCTCCTGGCCTCCTCCTCACCAAGATCCGCCTTGCCTGGTGCTTGTCCTCCAGTCTCCTCCGTGTCCCTGGCTCTCCCCGGCCTCCGCGTGGGTGTCTGGCTCTGTGCCCTGCCCCGACAGCCTCCCCTCAGGCTGTGTGGCCCTGTGCCTGCGGCCGCATGTCCTTCCCCGCCTGTCTTCGTGATGGTTGCTAAGGCTTCCCCCGCACCTGTAACTGCGTCGGAGGACAGGGAGGCCACGGATCAAAGCCTGTGGGAATTCACTTGGGAGCCCACCCGCAGATTCGCACTGGCCCCAGGCTGGAGCTGCCGGGCAGGGCGGGCGAGGCTGGACAATGGTCGGGGTCTGTCTGCGGTCAGGCTCACCCGAGTCCCCTCCCGCCGCCGTGGGCCATGCCCCTGCATTTCTGTTCCGCGCTGGCTTTATTTCCTGCGAGCGGGGCGCGGGCCCAGGCGGGACTGCAGTCTGCCCCCCATGCCCCCCGCCCCCAGGCTGCAGCGCGGGCTGGGCTCTGCTCGGCCACAGCTGGTGGAGGCCTGGGCCCCCAGGGCCTCGGAGGCATATGTGTGTGTGTCCTTGATAGGCCACCGGGACTGGCTCTGGGTGCCTTTGTGACATGCGGGGGCATCCCCAGTACCTCCTTCTTTGTCGCAACGCCACCAGGACGCGTCTGCCCTTTTGCTGTGGTGCCCTGTCCAGTGTCTGTCCCTCACTGCTCACTTTCTAGGCTTCCCCTCAGCGATCCCATCATTGCATCAGAACCTTGGGTCCTGCCTCCTTACCCCTCCCAGCTCTAGTCCACACTCCCTCCCCCAGGGAGCCTCTCAGGACTGACTGCGCCCTGCCCAGCGCTGTTCCTGTGCCTCTGCAGGGAGAACCTAGCCTGTCCCTCCACGACCCTGCCCTGTCTGTGCATCCGCTGGAACCTGGGAGCCTGACCAGGGCAGGCGAGCTCTGCCCTCTGCCTCCTTTCCTTGACTGGGGGGAGGTGGGGGTGGGGTCACACGGCAGGATCTCTCACTGCTTCAGAACACCTGCCATGGGCCTGGCAGCCGGGCCCCACGCTGGGTGAGGGGCCAGAGCTCTGAGGCACACAGCCTGGACTCGAGTCTCCTGGGCTCGGGGCAGGGACGGGCAGTGCCGCAGGGGCCATAGGATCGCGGAGGTGAGAAGTGAGTAAAAGGGGCTCTCAGGGCTCATGGGAAGTCCAGGAAGACTTCCCAGAGGAAGTAACTCTTCGAATCCCGAGGGAGTGGGGGCAACAGTGTCTCCCCACCGCCCCCCACCCCCCGGAACGGGCTGTGCAAGGCCCTGGAAGGGGGGCAGAAGCCTGGGGTGTGCAGAGAGGAGTGGAGCCTGTCTCAGGCCCGGTCTTGACTGCAGGGGCTGTGGCGGGGTGGGGGGGGCGGGAAGACTCGCTTGTGAGTTTTGCAGGGTCAGGATCTAGCGGCCTTCCCATCGAGTATGATTCCCGAGACCTCTTCATTTTCCCTGCTCTCTGGACTCTTCAGTCATTGCTTCCACGTCGTCTCGATGGCTACTGCCTTCTCTGTCATGTCCTTGCTCGGGTTTCCAGGGGCACCTCTAACCATCTAGCTGCCCGGGACAGATAAGGGCCATAGTTGCCAGTTAGTGGGCATGGGCAAGGGTTTGTACCAGGCCGGTCATACCCCTCATCCCGTTAGCCTCCAGAGAACCCGGGAGGAGGGCATTATCACACCCCGCAGTACCGGTGAGGAAGTGAGGCTCCGAGAGGGACTTGGCCAAGGTCACGGTTAGGAAGCGGCAGAGGCATTACGCAAACCTGTCTGCTCCTACACCTGTGCCCCTGAAAGGGCCCCGCGGTCCTTGTGCAGACCCGTCACGTACAGGCGAGCGGGCTGGGGAAGCTGCAGTGCGCCTCCGTCCTGCCCGCTCCCCATCTCTGACTCTGACCACAAGGGCTCCCCCCATCCTGCCCGCTCGCTCCCCGTGGACAAAGAGCAGCTTCTCAGTGTTTGCTGGAGACTTCGCCGGGAGAACAGGGTGTCCGGGTCCCATTTCCACGCTCAGGAAAGCCGTGAATACGAGTCCCATCTCTGGGCCGGGGTAACGGGCCACCCCACTCCCAAGCCCTTGACTTGGGCTCCGGGGCCATGGGAAGGACAAACGTGCATGTGGGGAGCTTGCAGTGTGGAGCTGCCCTGGAGAATGCGCAAGGATATGAATACATTTGAATAATAATGAGGGCAATGCCTGAATTAACAATGCTGGCTGCTCACCTGACCCACCCCTCCCCCAGGATCCCGGCACCTGCTGCTGGAGTCCTGGGAAATGTGGGTGAACCTCACCCTTGGCTTCTCTGGGAGCCACAGACGGCGGCCAGGTCAGCAGAGTTGGGGGTCGCTAACTTCCTGGATTTGTACAGTTAACCGAGAGGGAAGAGGCTGCCTCGTGTATCAAATCATACGCTGGCCGTCATTCCCAGCCCTGCCCCCTCTCTCTTGGTCCCCTTTGTGTGCAGCAGACAACGTGGACGTCAGATGTCCAGGGAGACTCAGAGGGAGGAGATCGCATGGCCCTTGGCTGTAGGGGAGAAGCTCCTCTTCTGTTAGAACGGACAAGGCAAACACCTCCCTTCACCGGCTGCATTCTACCCCATTATAAAAACACGGGCATAAACTCTTAGAGTCTGGGACAGGAAATGCATGGATAGAGCTGTGATGGCAGGACTGGGAGATGGGACAAGCTGTGTCTGTCCGAGGAGCTAAGGGATCAATCCAGGAGGGCTTCCTGGAAGAAGGGAATGTGGGGCCAGTTTGGAAAGAAGGGGAGACATGGAGTGGGAGGAGGAGACAGAAGGGAGGGGACAAGACCTGGGGCCTGTCTCTGGTGGCTTAGAGGGAGGTCTCAGAAGGGGGGGGACAAGTTCCCTCTGCTTACACACTGGAGTGATGGAGCATCAGAGACATTGTGGAAAGGGTTGGATTTGGGGATTGTGGTCTCTGCAGAGACGTGGGAGCTGGAGAGGGAAAGAAGAGGAAGGAGTCCCCTGAGCTGTGGGCAAAGCTGATTTCGGTCACAGTGGTGTGACAGATTGGGGATGAAGCTAGGAAGCCCCAGACCTCTCCCTTTGCCACCTCCCCCCTTCCCACAGCCTGCCCCACCCGCGGGACCAGGGCTGGCTCGCTGGGGGTGGGGGCTGGGGGTTGGGGCAGCCACAGTCCAATTCCCTGCTCCATTTAGGCTCCACAATTAAAGGCAATTACTCTGCAGCTCTCTAATCAAACGCTCCCGGCCGGGCTGCCAGCCGGGCTGCCATGTGTGGCTCAGCAGCCGGAGGGAGGGACGAGCAAAGTCACACGCACGCCTGGCTCCCACTGCGTGGGCGGCGGGGCGCGGGCCAGTGTGTCCGTGTGTGCCCACGCGTGCCCCGGAGCTCGGGGGCAAGGGGCAGACGTGCGGGACGCGGCGGGTGTGCCGAGAAGTGGGCTCTGAGGTTTGCTGGTGGCACTCGGAGCCCCGGGAAGCCGGTGTTCAGCCATGTGCGGTGCCTGCCCGGGGAATCTGCCCTGTGTGCCCACTGGGCACGTCGTGGGGGGCTGTCCCTGCGTGGCGGCCCATGTGTGCTACCTCGTGGCGGCTCGCGTGACACGTGCAGGCAGGGGTGCGGTGCGTATTCATGCCCTGGGATTGCAGGGGTGGTGCACGACCAGCAGCTTTGGTCACGGATGCAGCACCTGGGAACAGGGGTCGGGGTGAGGCGGCGGGTGGCGGAACAGGACCGGGGCCTGGAGGGCCGAGGCTCAGGCTCTGAATCCGCACTCTGCCCCTCATTCACGCTCACCCCCCGGGCCTCCGTGTCCTGTCTGTGGCACGAGAGGGTGGCAGGAGCCCCATCTCAAGCCTTTATATAACACTGCGCCGCTCTCTCTGATTGCTGAGCGCCTCCACTCCTGAAACCCGTTCCCCTGGGCCAGGGGGGAGGAAGGAATCCAGGGCGGGCACGTGGCTTCTTGGCGGGAAGGGGCTGGGCTGAAGTGGGGCAGGGAGGGGAGGGCAGGGTGGGGGCCTGGGAGGGTGGCCCCCTGGTGGAGCCCCTTCCCTCCTGCACGTCCTTACCCAGTGCCGGCTTGGCTTTGCCAGGGACCCAGACCCGCTTCAGCCAGGAGCCGGCCGACCAGACTGTGGTGGCAGGACAGCGGGCCGTGCTCCCCTGCGTGCTGCTCAACTACTCGGGCATCGTGCAGTGGACCAAGGATGGCCTGGCGCTGGGCATGGGCCAGGGCCTCAAAGGTGAGTGGGCTGCCCACCGGGCTGGCACCCAGACTGTCCCGCTCGCCTAGCTCCTCACCGCGCTCCTCACTGCGCTCCCTCTCCGTGCTCCAGCCTCCCCTCTCCCATTTGAGTGCGGGCAGCCTTGCCCTCTCCCCCTGAGCTCCAGACTCCCTCCTGCCCCAGCCCAGGCCACGTCTGCTCCGAGGCCAGAAACCCCTTGTAACCTCAGCCTGGGCGCTTACGCACGTGTTCATCCAAGAAGCCTGTATCAGGCGCCGTGCAGCCCGCGCTGAGGCTACCTAGCGATTCAGTCAAGCAGGACGGACGAACGACCTCCTGTATTCCAGAACAAGTAAAGGGACTTTTGGGAAGGCCTCCTGGCCGTGCTGAGGGGGAAGCCCCCGGGTTCTGGAGCTGCCTCTGCCACCTGTGAGCGGGGCTACTTAGGAAAGCCGCCGCACCTCTCTGGTCTTCGTCCACCACTGTGTAAGAGAGCCGTAGTCGTCACGGGCCTGTGCACGGCGCTCGTGAGTGTTGAACCAAATGAGAGATGGTGTTTTGTGAAAAGCCACGGCAGGCCTGAAAGCAGTGTGATGCCGAAAGCCCAGGAGGGGCTGTATATTTTTATTCTTTCTGTTGTCTGGGGCTTAAAATTATTGGCTGTGGGTTCTGCATATTAGCACAGGTAGGGGAAATTTGTCCGTGTAGAGAAAGAGATAGGCTAGTGGATCTACTGATGATAGAAAGAAAGAGAAACTGGGAGAGAGAGATCAATAGATATGGAGTGAGAAGGATCGATAACCCCTGGGCAGAGGGAGATAATGGGAGGGAGCCGGTGGGGAGCCCGGGAGAGGGGGACAGGGGAGGGGGTGCGAGCCTGCAGGGGAGGGCAGGGGAGGCTGAGCCAGAGGGGGCCAGAGGCTCAGAGGCCCACCTGCCACAGCCGTGGCTTCTCCAGGGACCGCGTGGGTCAGGGGCTCCTTCAGGGGCAGGACCTGCCTCATCCGTCCCCCGCGTCGCGGGTTCGGCGAGGCCTTGGCCTGCCTTGGCTCCCCCCGGCCCCAGGGAACCCCATCTGTGCTGCAATGCCCTATATTTCCAGCGCCCACATGCCCTCCCCCTCTTTTCTCTTGGCTTTTTTCCTCTTCCTTTCCTATTATTATGAGAGACGTTTGTCTGCAAACAGCTCCAGAGATTTCTGCTCCTCTCCCCCTTCTGTCTCCCTGTTGCTCCTGCTGCAGGGCCCCCAGACTCACTGTAGGACGTTGTGACATCGGGGTGTCACACCTGGGACTGCGGACGGGGTCCCAGGCCAGGGAGGAGGGAGGAGAGAGGAGAGGTGGCCTGGGCGGGACGCAGCCCCCGCCGTGGGGCGAGGGGATGAGACCTGGGGACAGAGAGAAGCCTGGCGGGCAGGGCGGTCTGGGCTGGGTCCCAGGCCGGTTCCCAGGCTGGGGCGGGGCTCACCTCGCTCGCCCTTTGTGTCCCTGCAGCCTGGCCGCGGTACCGGGTCGTGGGCTCTGCGGATGCTGGGCAGTACAACCTGGAGATCACGGACGCCGAGCTGTCTGACGACGCCTCCTACGAGTGCCAGGCCACGGAGGCCGCCCTGCGCTCACGGCGGGCCAAGCTCACCGTGCTCAGTAATGCCCCAGCCCCTCCTCTCGCTCTTTCCCTCCTGTCCCCTTGACTCCTCCCTCCTTCCTGGCCTCAGGCCTGTCCCCACTGCCCCCCAGATCCTTCTCTAAACTTCTTCCAAAGCCAAGTCCAATAGAAGAGGGTGAAGCGGGCACGTGGGCCCCCCTGGCGGGACCACGGGTGCACGAGGCCTGGCATCCTCTGTGCGCAGCTGGATTGGGCTCTGCCTGCGGGACACGAGGCTCCCCAGGGCAGAGCAGTTGGGGTGCTGGAGATGCATCCACTCCTGGCCCAGGCTTGTCAGTGAGGGAACTTCTCCCGTCCTCCCCCTCTGCTGCCCCAGCCCCAGCAGCTGCCCCGGGGGCTCCTTTTCCTCCTCACTCAACCCCTACTGCCCTTCACCACTCCTTCCCTCCCTGGGCACTGAGGTTGCCCTGGAGGCCCTTCTGGGAGCCAAGGAGCAAGACCGGAAGGAACAAGACCCGAGGGCTGAGCACTGGGATGGTGGGCTGGGTCCTGCTGGCGCCAAGCAGATGTCCCTCTGTGAGAACACCGGGGCCATTTGCAGAATGAGGGGACTGGACCCTGCAGGAGCTCCCTCCAGCCTGGTGCCCTCATCAGGTCACATTTTCGCTCTGCTTCCTTCTGCCCATGACCCTCCCTCTTCCTTTTGTCCTCCGTGCTGTCCAGTTCCTTTCTCCTGCCTTCATTTGATCTGTCCTGCTCCCTCTTTTCCATCCCTTTGCCTGAAATCTGTGACCTGGGAATGCCCCTGGAAGGGATGGGGGGAGAGGAGCAGAGACCGTGAGCTTGGACACAGGAAGGTTTTACCTGGGGGGAGGGTGGGAGTGAGAAGGTGACAGGAAGTCATCCTTGTGTCAGGGAAGGGCTGGACTGGGAGCTGGGAGTCAGGAGCCCAGGGCCATTTGGCGCTGTGACCCTGAAGAGGTCATGACCCCTGGGTATCAGCTTGCTCATCAATAAGGTGGTATCACCCTTTTCTCAGCTGCTTTGCTGCTCCTGCCCAGGAAGCTGTGAACCGCGAGAGCTTGGGCACTGAGGTGTCAGGGTGTCAAGGCCCCGCAGGGCTAGGACTCTAGCCTGGCGCGGGGCTCGCTCTTCCTGTCTGGTGAGCAAGGCACAGGACTGAGGTTAGGGAAAGAGAGTCAGGTGGCCGCCAGGGATGGGCGTGGGGCGCCATGACCGCACTTCCCGTCCCTCCTGGGGTGTGTGTGAGCCCGCGCCAGCCCGGGCCATCTAAGGGAGTCACGAGATTCTGGGGAGTCCGTCCGTCTTCTTTTCCCTCCCTAACCGCCTCGGTTGTGGGTTCTGGAGGTACTGCGTCTGACCCGGAGAACTCCCATCCTAACAAAGGAGCCCCTGGTACTCCCTTCCCTCTCCTGCCCCAGACCTCCAAAGACAGAGAAATAAAGATGAAAAAAAGGCCAGCTAAACCCCTAGGTACTGCAGGAATGGGGCTTATAATGGCATCCAGTGGCTTGGTTCATTTAAGGAAGGCTTCCTGGAAGAGGAGAGTATCAATGGGGACCCTAGGTGGAGGAGTACCTTGTTTAAAAGCTTGCAAGCCACTGAGGGGAGTTTGGGGGGCATGAGGGGCAGGGACAGGCCCCAAGAGGGAAAGAGGTGAGAGGTTCGTGCTTGCTCATCGCTCTCCCAGACGCCCTGCCACCTGCAGCCGCATGCAGGCCCAGAAGACAGGCTGTGTCTCGAATGCTCCCTGCTCACCTGGTTACGTACACCTTCGTCACGGCACCGGAGCCCGGAGACTGGGCAGGGCAGAGTCGAGAGTGGGCTGCGTCCAGTGCCTGGTAGACCCCTCATCTGCAGCCACAGCCCTTGGTGGTCTCCCTGCCCCCACCCCAGGCCAGGCTTTCCTTCTCCCTGTGGCGGGACTGAGCGGCGGCCTTCCGCTCCCCTGCAGACGCAGATGCAGACGCGGCGTCCGCTTGCAGGCCTACAGCCACCCCCCGAGTGCCCCGGGGAGGGGCGCGGCTCCAGGGCCGGTGGGCCTGGTCCCCCCCAGCCCTGCCGCTTAACTCACTCTCCTACCTCCGAGCACATTTCTTAACCTCTCTGAGCCTCAGGGACCTTGTCTGCCAATTGGGGTCCATGGTATTTACCACGAAAGAGTTAATGAAGTACACTTTGTGGTGAGCTTCAAATGCAATCAGGTACGCGTGGTACTTGGGCCCTTTGGTCAGCATTCCACGAACGGCAGAAACACCGGATCACATCACAGCTTACCAGCTGCACGTCTGGGATCTCATTTCGACTTCACAGCATCACCTCTGGGGAAGAGCCGTCAATGTTATTTTTAAAATTTTACAAACAAGGAAACTGAGGCCACAGACACATGTACATATTGAGATACAGATTTGTCACAGATCATAATAATTTGTTCATAAACAAGCATCCACACGAACACGCACCCTCTGATAGTGGAGCAGACACTTCAATGGCCTTATTCTCCTTTGCCCCAGAAACAGAGAGAAAGATGGGTTAGCGACAGAGGCGACAGATGGACGGTCTTGCCTGAACGAGGGGAGAGGGCCAGCGTTCTAGGGAAGGGAGAGCCGATGGGAGGAGAAGCCTTCCCTCTGACCCAGGACACGGTGTCCCCCGCAGATGGGCAGGACCTCTGCCCATCCAGGACGTCCTTCCTGGGTGAGACAGCAGGTGTGACCTCAGAGGGGCCCACACAGACCAGGAGACCCAGAGCACCGTCTGACAGGGGGACCAGGCAGAGCAGCAAGCAAAGAGGAGGAGCTGGGGACTCAGTGGCTAATCTGCCGGCCAGGAACTGGGGGCGCTGCTGGCTCTCGTCTGAGCAGCTGAGCAAACACAGCCCAGGTGTCACACGGGCCTGCACGCTGTAGTCCATACCCAGCACCCCCGCTGACCTTCACCAGGGCCCCCTGGTTAGGTCCTGCTACGTCCCTGTTGAAGAAACAGACTCTGACCTGAGGGCCTCACCCAAGATCACACAACAGGTAAACAGACGTGCCAGGGTTTAAAATCAGGGCAGCCTGCTTGGAAACTACCCCTCCGCATGCACGAGTTGAGCGGAACACAGACGGGCTGCAGGTGGTTCCCTTCCAGTGGACATGGCAGCTCAGGACCGGCATTTCCCACACTCCGGGGCAGCCCGGCGCACTGCGAGGCTCTGTGGGCCTTCCACGTCTGCTCTCAGGGTTGTCTCGCAGAGCCCCCTCTGGGTCTTCCCAGAGGCAAACAAAGCCCTTTCCCATTGCTGACCTGATGACAACGGGGTGCACCAGAACGATGATAATCGAAATCCTGCCTCTGTCTCTTCAATCCCCCGTTCTTTCATTCAGTCAGTATCCCCGAGGACCTGCTGTCAACCCAGCTCGGCTAGACCTCGGGCTTTCAGAGAAAGAAGCAGCCCTACCTTCAAGGAATGTGTAATCTGATCGCCTGAGCCTTTAGGAGCCCGTGAGGATAGGACAGGAAGAGGCCTCCTATTCCTTGGCATCAGAAATCTGACCCATTTAGTCCCTCAAGCGGGTAGCAGGAGCCTACGGTGACCACCTCTGGGCCCTGGAGACAGTAGAAATCCAGGAGCCGGGGACAGCGGCCTTGGCTGGGACGGGGTCCCGGCAGTCCTCCCAAGTGACCCCAACACAAGGTCGGTTAGGAGCTCAGAGCACCTGCCTGGGAGCCCCTGCGGGCCGGCTGTGGCGGGAGGGCCCATGCAGCAGGCCCAGGAAGGGACAGCGGAGGTGAGGACACGAGAGAGTGCAGGGCTGAGGGGCTTGCGGCACTTCGTAGCCCTCAGAGGTGTCTGAGCGGGGCGGTGGCACAGTCTTTGCTGCGCTGGAGAAAATAACCAACCTGCCCGCGGCGATGGATGTGTCGGCCGGGGGCACTGGAGGCAGGGAGTCCATTTGGGAAGTGGCCGGAGTGGACTGGCTCCCGGGGCTGGCCCAGGGCACAGGGGCGCACAGGACGGAATAGATGAGGACGCTCCTCCCGAGCCAGGCCCCCCGGGGTGTGAGCGGCACTCCAGTCCTGGAGACCCCGGCTCTTCCCCGTTTGCGGCCACGCCCCCTCCCCCCGCCAGCTGGGCTGGGAAAGAACTAGGTGGGGGGCGGGCGGGTTGTGCTGGTGGCCTGGGGTGAAGCCTCCCCAGGACCAACAGCTACAGTGATTGCAAGTTAAGGTGGCCGCAGCCGTGCCGCGGGAGGGATGCCACCAGGGGCAGGGGCTGTGGGCGCCAGGGCGGAGCTGGCCACACCCTGACTGAGGCTCTGCTCGCCCCGCAGTCCCCCCAGAGGACACCAGGATCGACGGCGGCCCTGTGATTCTGCTGCAAGCAGGCACCCCCCACAACCTCACGTGCCGAGCTTTCAACGCCAAGCCGGCCGCCACCATCATCTGGTTCCGGGATGGGACGCAGCAGGAGGGCGCTGTGGCCAGCACGGTGAGATCTGCGGCTCCCCCAGACCCCTCGGCCCCATCCCAGGTCGCCTCTCATTCCCACATGGGCCTGACCCAGACTCGGGGGACACAGATGTGACAGGAGAGCTTGTAGGCCGTCTGGTCCAAGCCTCTCATCCATCGTGTAGCTGGGAAGGCAGGGATCCAAAGAGGAGGGAGCTCCCAGGTTCACGGCGCATTCGGTGGCTAGCAGGGACTAAGAATAATGCTAATACCAGCTACATTAAGCACCTACTGTGTGCCAGGCACTGTGCATGCTGGCTCCTAATGGACAGTCCCTCTTAATTGTCAAGGGAGTTTGATAAGGCAGGTGTTCCTCCCAACTCGACAAAGAGGGACACTGAGGGTCAGAGAGGTTGATGCCTCGCCCAAGGTCACACAGCTGGGGTTTGCTCGGCTGTGCTCCGTTGAGCACCTCCGGCTTCGTCCTTCAGCCTCTGGTTGGCGCAGCCAAGAAGCTGAGGAGGCAGGGCTCCCACGTAGGTTGTACAGACGAGGAAGCTGTGACAGAGAAGCCATCGGGTGATGTTCTGGGTGGAGCTGGAATGAGCATCCCCATCGCCAGGTGGGCCCAGCCCTTCGCTAGGTGCCGGGGGGACCTGCTCCCCTGTGTGCCTCGGAGAGCAGTGCCAGGCAGAGCCCGATTAGCTCTGCCCTTGACAGGCTGTGTGACCTTGCCCGGGTCCCTGCTCTCTGGCCTTAGTTTCCCCATTCGACCCAGGACAGTTTGGCCTCAGTGGTGCTTAACCTTTTACCGCCAAGACATGTGTAATTTTTCTCCTGTAGGACTACAGATTTTGAAACGTTCTGGCAACCAAACGAGCTGATTTGTTAATGGCCATTTGTCGTCCACGTTCCTGCTCCCGTTTTCTAACGACAGCAGGTCCTGGCCGAGCAGCGGGGGGAGCCGGCAGCCCTGCACGGCGCTGGCCCTGCTCCCGTCCAGCAGAGGTGTGCTGCTGTCAGGGCGCAGGGCCTCCCTCGGACAAGCAGTGGGGCTTCCCTGGCACAGCTGGAATATGGCAAACAGCTCACGGGTTCCTGTGACCACATTCAGGGGCCTCAGGTTGGCCCCCCTGAGCCAGCGAGACGGCCTGTGAGCCCTTCCTGCCCCCCAGGGGCTCACGGTCTGGCAGGAGCGCTCACACACAGGGCCCCCGGGGCGAGGCAGCGTGTGCCCAGAGCAGAGCAGGACAGACGGACCGGGAGGGCCACGACGGCAGTGCAGAAGAGGGGCCTGGGGCTGCACTCACAAAATCCCAGGAATGAGGCTCGGAACCACGGGGAATGGTAGCACATGCAGAGTGGGCTCCGGTGGAAGCTGGACACGGGTCCGTCAGTTGCGTGTCATGTTCATTAGCGGAAACCGTGGGGTCTGGGAGGAGGGTGGATGGGAACTCGCTGCATTTTCTGTTCAGGTTTTCTGTACACTTAAAACTCTAAAAAATAAAGTGTATTAATTAAAAACCAAACCAAAGCCGACCTGGGGGAGGATGCTGGGGCTGGGGGTGGGGTGGGGAGGGCCGCACTTCCGGTTAAAGTTCACATGCCCCTCCGGCACAAGCCTGTCTCTGGGCCGGGTCATCCTGATTGCAGTGCAGGGGGCTTCTAGCTTGACCCCGTCCCCCACTTGTCCCACCCCAGGAACTGCTGAAGGATGGGAAGAGGGAGACCACCATCAGCCAGTTGCTCATTAACCCCACAGACCTGGACATTGGGCGTGTCTTCACCTGCCGCAGCGTGAACGAGGCCACCCCGACTGGCAAGGAGACTTCCATCGAGCTCGACGTGCACCGTGAGCAGGGGTCCTGCAGCGGAGCTGGAGGGAGGGGTGGGCTGAGGAAGGGAGTGTGGGGCACCCTCGGAGAAGCCCCGAATGCAGATCCCCCGGGGCCCCAGGGCAGATGCTCTTGGATCCCCTGGTTGGAGTACCCAGGGGCCGCGGGCCCCGAGGGCTGGGGGAAGCACCGTCGGCGAGTCAGCCAACTCCTGCGTCTAATCCAGCCTGTGACTTCCGCTGCGACTTAATCTCTTTGACCCTCAGTTCCCAATTCTGTATAGTGGAAGAAAATAAAATACAGGCCCACGATCTCTTCTCTGAAATTCCAAACTGAAACTGATTTACTGGCAAAACATGAACTAAGGTTCCCCACGGTCTCTTACTTAACCCATATGTCACTGTGAGCTGTTGCCCAGACCCTGCTGGGGGTCTTTCATAGTAAATGGTCTGTGTACACCAGCACCTTTCTAAAATTTAAAAACTCCAAATTCTGAAATACATCTAATTCCATGGGGCTCAGAGGAGGGACTTGGGACCTGTTCCTGTCTGTCGGAGCTGTGGGAGCACCTAAATGAGAGAGAGAGAGAGAGAGAGAGAGAGAGAGCGCGCGTCCGAGCAGCCAGGATGGAGCCTGCTACTCAGGGGATGCTCCTTACAGCCCCTCCGCCCAGAAAAGGGAGGGAGCTGGGCAGGGGCTGGAGATGCCCCACCCCCATCCCTTTCCGTGAGCCACGCGAGGCCACGCTGACGCCTCGTGGCCACAGTGCACCATTACATCCGCTAATTGTCTCTCCTGCAGCAGCCTGGGTCCCGGCCCCCTAGCCGGCCCCCTGGAGGCTCCGTGGGGTAAAGGGGAGGAAGATGGCTTCTCTTTTGGAGCGGCTTCACTACAGACTCCAATTCCCAGATCTCTGCACAGGGAGAGGGCTGGGTGTGTGTGTTAGGAAGAGAAAGAAACCTGGGGGACAGAAAAGACCCTTCCTGTCCCCTGCTTTGCAGACCCTCCCACGGTGACCCTGTCCATTGAGCCACAGACGGTGCAGGAGGGGGAGCGCGTTGTCTTCACTTGCCAGGCCACAGCCAACCCCGAGATCCTGGGCTACAGGTGCAAGGGGTGGGGGCTGGGAGCACCCTGCGCCTGGAGTGGGGGGTGCCGGAGTGCAAGGGGGGCCTGGGGGCACCCTGCGCCTGGAGTGGGGGGTGCCGGAGTGCAAGGGGGGCCTGGGGGCACCCTGCGCCTGGAGTGGGGGGTGCCGGGGTGGGGGTCGTGCTACTGGATGTGGGTGAGAGGGGGCCAAGCCCTGATCCCCACTCTGTGTTGCCTTCACCCCAGGTGGGCCAAGGGCGGCTTCTTGATTGAAGATGCCCACGAGAGCCGCTATGAGACAAATGTCGACTATTCCTTCTTCACGGAGCCTGTGTCCTGTGAGGTTCACAACAAAGTGGGGAGCACCAACGTCAGCACCTTAGTAAACGTCCACTGTGAGTGGCCGGAAGGGCAGGGGTGGATGGGGAGGGCAGGGACCTTTGAAGGGTCTGGGGTAGGGGTGGGGGGACAGGGGACAGCTCAGGGGAGGTGGCAGAGCAGCAGAAGGAAGAGAGGATCGGCTAGAGCTGACCCCCCATGAGACTGAGTCCCTAGCAAGTGCTGTTTTCTACACAGTTGCCCCCCGGATCGTAGTTGACCCCAAACCCACGACCACAGATATTGGCTCTGATGTGACCCTCACCTGTGTCTGGGTGGGGAATCCCCCCCTCACCCTCACCTGGACCAAAAAGGATTCAAACATGGTAAGACGCCTGCTACCCATCTTGAGCGCGGGGAGGAAGGAGTCGGTCACAGGTGGGAGAGCAGGGGTGGGGCGAGGCTGGCGCAGCATTACTTTTCAAGTCGAAGCTAGAGTGTTTCCAGGGTCTTGGGATTTGGAGGAGGCGGTCAGTGCTCGGGAGCAAAACCCACTTGTCCCCGCAGAACAGCTGGCAAGTTCAGTGACCATGGGAGGGACGGGGGACCTATGTGTGGGGGAGGGGGGAGGGGTGGTTTCTGCAGCTCTACAGACCCCTGCATTAGATAGTTCGGGCTGGAATTGCAGGAAGAGGGATTTCAGGGTGAAACTTCCTGCCTTGTTTGGCAGGGAAAGCTCTAGAACAGACCGTCAGAGAGGCTGCGTTCTCTGGGAAACCACGCAGCGCCAGCTGCCCTCTCTGGCCTCCGCCCTTCTCAGCCCACTCTTGCAGAGACGGCAGGCCTCAGTGCGGCCCTGTTTAGGGTCAGGGGATGCACCCTTTGCCCTTCTGGGAATTCACTTGTGGCCCTTCCTGCTTTCTTCCCGATGCCTCCGATGCGGGGCCCCACTCGGACCCAGGGGCCCAGGCCTCCTGGCTCCCCACCCGAGGCTGCTCTCTCTGCCCAGGTCCTGAGTAACAGCAACCAGCTGCTGTTGAAGTCAGTGACCCAGGCCGATGCGGGCACATACACCTGCCGGGCCATCGTGCCTCGGATCGGCGTGGCCGAGAGGGAGGTGCCCCTTTACGTGAACGGTGAGCGGCCTCCGGGGCTGGGCCTGGGTGGGCGTGCTGCGATGTCCCGCCGGCCCTGACCGCGTCTTCTTGCTCACAGGGCCCCCCATTATCTCCAGTGAGGCGGTGCAGTATGCTGTCAGGGGTGACGGGGGCAAGGTGGAGTGTTTCATCGGGAGCACGCCGCCCCCGGACCGCATTGTGAGTGCCGCGACTGTCACAGGGCCCGAGGACAGCCAGCCACCTGGAGGCTGCGTCCCTCTGCCCCCGTCCCTGCTCACGTGCCACTTCCCCCTCTCTCACTTGTCGCGTGACCCTGAGCCAATTACTGAGTGTTTTGATCCTCAGTTTTGTCATCCACAAAATGGGGGCAGTGTCCCTGCCTGATGGCCGCAGCAACAGGTGTGAGAGGCCGGGGCGCCCCGGCTGCTCTCTCTGCCTCATCTCCTTCCCTCTCCTCAGCCTCCTTCCACCCTGCCCCTGGGTTCCCCGGCCCTCTGCCCCCTTCTGTCTTCCTCCTCCTACCCGCTCCCTCTCCCCCCTCCGTTCTCCTCTTCCCCACACCATGCGCCATTAGTTCCTCCCATGACCATTAACCGTCAAACCCCTCATCACATTTAATGACCATTTGGCTAACTCCAGGGCTGCCCAGGGACACTTCATTACCACGGCCGCCTGGGCAGCGGGCGGCTCGGCTCCCAGGGGCTTTCCTTGCAGAGCTAGGAGGATTGATCCCTGGAAAGGAGCCAGTGCTCAGGGAGGGGACAGGAAAGGGGTGTCCCGACCGGGAACTCAGGGATGGAGGAGGCTGCGAGAGATCCTCCCTGTTCTAAGAGTCTGGGATGGGTCTCCAGAGCCCCCCGGGTGGGTTCGTGTGGGGCCGGCTGCGGCTTGGCTACAGGTAAAGCTGAAGACTCTCAGACCACCAGAGCTGGACAAACCCCGGGCATCCAACTCCGGCCTGGTTCTCTGCTTTTATAGATGAGGACACGGAGGCCCAGAGAGGGGAGGGGAGGCCACACAGGGGCTCGAGGGAGAGCCAGGCCCAGGGCCGCATGTTGACTCCCCATCCAGGACATCAGGGCTGCCAAATATTGGTTCACTGACCCAGCCGCACCTGCATCCATGGGATTGTTAGAAAAATAGAGATTCCTGGACCTCTCCCCTGGAGTTGCATATTTAAGAGTTAAGCTCCAAGAATCTGCATTTTAAAGAATGTCCCTAAGCATATCTGCATGTTCCTGGCATACATCTCCATTGTGTTGGCAGCCACTGTTTCCCTTAGACTGGAGATCCCATGCCAAGGCTTGAGGCAGCAGGTGTGACTTGGGTTTGTTGCAGAGTGAGCGCTGCGCTGGGTTGAGGGACACACAGGGCACACGGGACAAGGATGCCTGGAGGGTGGGTCAGCTGTTTCTGCCACCTGCTCCTTCCTCATCCCCCCCTGCCCTCCCCACCCCAGGCCTGGGCATGGAAGGAGAACTTCCTGGAGGTGGGGACCCTGGAGCGCTACACGGTGGAGAGGACGAACTCGGGCAGTGGGGTGCTGTCCACGCTCACCATCAACAATGTCATGGAGGCAGACTTCCAGACGCACTACAATTGCACGGCCTGGAACAGCTTTGGGCCCGGCACGGCCATCATCCAGCTGGAAGAGCGAGGTGACCGTGGCCAGGGTGCGGGGCAGCTGGGGGTTCTGCTCCCTCCTCCCTCCCCTGGCAGTCCTCATGGGGAGACAACTCTCCTGGGACCTACCCTCCAGAGCCTGCGCTGATGCTCACCTGGGGAAAACCACCCCCTTTTTTAAACATTCATTGAGCCTCCCCTCTGCGCCGGGCCCCGCACGAGGGGCAGCCGGGATGGCAGTGCCCAAGACGCGGTCCTGCTCCTCGAGGGGGTTTTGGGTCAGTGGAGGAGCACACAGAGTGGGAGCAAAGGACTTCAGGTGGAGAAAAGCAGATGCTTCATGAATGGGTGTACTACTACCGACCTCATGGGGTTGGCGTGGGGATGAAGTGAGAATATCTATAAAACACCAGGCACGTGGCGGGCGCCCAGGAGCTTGTGGTGCCCCACCTCTTCGAGAATCCTTCATCTTCTAGGAGGCACACGCTTCCTCCCTTAAGATGCTGCATGTCGAAGGAGAAATTGCCTTTGACTTTTTTGGAAGCTCTGACGAGGGAGAGAAAGGAGGGGGCTCCCGTCAGGTGCGTCTTAGCTGAGAGAGCCAGCGAGGGGGTGGTGGGGAAGAACGGAGCGGAGGGAGTGCGGCAGGACCCAGCGAGGAGGGGAAGAGCCTCCCGAGAATCTGATCCATCCAGGACTGCCAGGAAGGGAGAGGAAGCTGGAGGAGGTTCCCTGGGTCCTACTCAGCTCTGGGGAGCAGGGAAGCCAAGGAGAACTGTGCGAGCCCTGGGAGGGCGGGTGCTGGTGCTGCCCTGGCCATGGGGTGGGGCCGGGGAGGTGGTGAGAGGTGGGGACATGGGTGACAGGTTGGAGTCTGTGGAGACAGCTAACCTCAAAGAGCAGCCCAGCCCAGGAAGCCGAGGCCAAGCCTCGCAGGCAGGTGGGCTGCAGAGGGGTGGGTGGGCCCCCAGGGCCAGGATCACACTGTGTCACAGCTGCAGGGATGGGACATGGCCATGCTCCCAAGCCTGATCAAGCCAAAGCTCAGGCCTAAACCCAGACACAATGCAGACCTTCCCCTCCAACTGCCCCTGACTTGAGCAAACACCGTTCCTGTCCGTGGATATCGGTGGAGCTCTGGCACCTGGCCTTCAGGTCCCCGTGAGCCACCAGCCTCACCCCAGCCTCTCCTTCCCTCTGAAGAGGTGCTGCCTGTGGGCATCATTGCCGGGGCCACCATCGGTGCGGGCGTCCTGCTCACCTTCTTCTTCATCGCCTTGGTATTCTTCCTCTACCGCCGCCGCAAAGGCAGTGAGTATGGCCCCCACCGCGCGC